AGATCACGGCGGCTCGTCTCGGGGTCATCGCTGCCTGTGCCCGGCGCGTTCTTCAGGGGGCTGAACTCCTCGTTTCTCTCGACCTCCAGGACAGCGAAGCGCTCGGTGTAGGGAAAGACGTCGAAGACGAACATCTCGAGCTTCATGCCGTTGGGCTTACTCGGCTTGACGCCGGCGCCGGTCTCGAGGTCGACGTGGGGGATCTTCTTGCGCGCGATGTGGAAGGCGAGCTCCTCCTCGAAGGCCTCGACCTGGTTCAGGTAGGCGGTGGTGTAGAAGTGGTTCACGATGTTGCCGGCGCGGAACTTGAGCTCGTGGGTCTCTGCGTCCCGGGCCTCGGCCTGCTCCTTCGAGATCTCGGAGTACTCGACCACGCTGTATTTGTGGCCGCGAAGGGCGACGACGCCGACGGATTCGGCGGCGTGCGCTTTGGGCACGACTTTGGTAGCGCAGTCGGCCTGCTTTTGGATGCTGTATCCGAGGAAGACGGGGTCTGCAACGCGGACGAGGCAGTTGTCGACGCAGTATGCGTGGACGTAGAGGATGCCGCGCTTAGCGAGATCGGAGAGGACGGTGTCGGGCTTGCCTGGATATAGCGGTGAACGAGTGGCAGCGTAGAGCCCGCCGTTGCCATCAGGCGCGACAGCGACGCGCGAACGTGTCTCGAGCAAAACCTTGCCTTCCATCGTGAGGCAAGGCAACGTCCCTATAATAACCTCGGTTAAGCTATTCCTTTTCAATGACGTATAAATAAGTGCATACCTTGTTCAAAGAATATCACATTTTTGGGGTCCAAACCAAAGAAGGCATTGTGCTTGAAGAAATCCTCTGTCTCGCGTCGCGTTGGGCCGCTCGTCATCACATACCAGGGGATCACGACAGATCCGGCGGGTTTCGAGTTTTCGGTCTCGGCCACCGTCTGCAAACGTGCGATGCGCTCGGCCTGGTACTGGAACAGCGATTTGTGCGACGGCAACCCGATGTCGTAGCAACCCTTCGGCGCGCTGCTGCCCAGCCGTGTGCCCTGCCCGCCGGCCATGAGCAGCACGCCGACCTCCCCGCGGGCGATGGCCTGCAGGCCGGTGTGGCGCCAGGACGCGGTTTTGGCGGCGTCGGCGAGGGACTCGGACGCGCCTTTTGGGAGCGGTTCGATGGTCTCTGTGTGTGCATTCGGAGTGTGAGCCTCCGCCTCCGAACCGACCGCTTTGGCGTAGATGCGGTTAACGCGCTCGATGTTGAGCGCCTCGAGCTGGGTCTTGAGCTCCTCCTGCTCAGCGGGGGAGAGTTTCTGCCAGAACTTGAAAAGATGGCCTTGGCCGGCGGCCTCGTAGCGTTTCTGGAGGGTATCGATGGACATGGTGGTTGGAAGAACGTGCTAGAGGGCCGTCTGCAGCAGGGTCTTTAGGGTTCGGCGGTTGCCGCGGCTGTGCACCACTCCACCTCGACTGGTCGCCGCGCTCTTGCACCGCATCTGCCACCATCCTGCCTTGCTGCGTCGTCGTATGCGACAGCGCCCGTCGGCGTACATATTCAGCGCGAGTGGATACGAGAGAGAGTAGCATACCCGTCTTCCTTACAGACTGCTCTGTATCCCCTTCCTCCGACGTTTCAGCGCTGCCCCTTGCTCCCATGCGGTTCCGAACTCTTGATGACCGCCACGGAACTCAGCATGTCTTTTTCTTTCCTTGGCTGCTAACAATTCATATGACACTACACACTGCATCAGACTCAAATCAGACTGCATCACTTGCTCTATCCTCAGCAGATCACGCGCAAAGAGGCTGGTGCCATTGTGCCAAGAATGCTCTCAGTTATTTCTAGCAGATCCATAAAAATACCTTCGCAATGCATTCATGTAACAGCAGCCCCTCTTTGTTGTCTGAATTTCGCTCCCTCACAACAACAGGCCGCCTTTTGAACAATTTATGCACATGTCAAACAAATCTGAGGATTCAGGATATGGACGCTGCAGCCCCTGTAGGCCACTCTCCACAGAATACTCTGTTGTTCTATCTTGAGCTTGCAACTCTTCGGCAGGATGACAATTTGCGTATCCTATGTTCTCGGAGCGAACACAACGGACTTACCGGGGTGTCTCGAACCGCTTTCCTCACCGTCGCCCTCCGTTGGTCTGTAACTTCAGCCAAACGCTGCTCACATGAGTAGCTAGCCTCGTGCTACACCCCCTCAACTTCAGTAACTGAAGCTTCTTCTCTTCTTGACACGTACCGAATCTCTTGTTTCTCTTGAAGAGTTACGAAAACGCCCTAGGTCGGGTCTTGAATACGCCTTGTCTGCATTACTGGCTAATTCGGCAAAGGCACGCGACCCCACGGGACTCCAAGTCTATTTTTGGACCATGACCTGGTCACTAGCTTCCCGCTAGAAGGCGATCGATCGAATAAGGTTGTAAATTGGCCTTGGAGTATAAAATATCTGGGGGATCCTCACCAGCGTCACTCCTCCTCCTTTCCCTTCCAATGGGCGTCGTTCGCCATACTCTCCTGGTCTTGGTCGCCAACCTTGCTCTGCTACCTACCATCCTCGCTCTGTCGTATGGCTTCCCCTACGGATCCGAGAAAGTTCGCGGCGTCAACCTAGGCGGTTGGCTCGTACTCGAGGTGAGCTATAACGCGACGTCGAACGGTGTTTCAATTCTCCTTACGACGCGTCTTTTCAGCCGTGGATCACGCCCTCGATATTCGACAACACAGGGGACTCGCGCATCGTCGACGAGTACACCTTTGGGCAGTACCAGAGCCACTCCACCGCACTAGCCACACTGCAGAACCACTGGGACACGTGGATCACCGAGTCCGACTTTGCGGCCATCGCTGCTGCTGGGTGCGTTGTACTTCCATCTTCATCTCGGGCGACGGGCGATATGGAAGGAATGATGTGCTAAATTTGTATGCATGTTTTTATAGGCTTAACCACGTACGACTGCCTATTGGGTACTGGGCATTTGACGTATCGGCCGGAGAACCTTACATCCAAGGGCAGCTTCCTTACCTCACGAAAGCAGTTACTTGGGCAGGGAACCATGGCCTGAAGCTAATTGTTGATCTACACGGTAAGAAGGGCTTGATACCCACCGACAATGATACTGATATTACCTTCCATTCGCGTTTCATAGGAGCTCCTGGAAGTCAAAATGGGTCAGTCAAACGTGTTAAGAAGAATGTGGACCCTTCGAATACTAAAATCGCTATAGATATGACAATTCAGGTCAAAGAATGAGTTCTCCGTACGTCTAATGCGCCTTTATATTTGGTCTGTAACTAATTTCTGGTCATTGAAAGGACATGGCAAACCCAACAAAGCAACATCGACCGCACGAAAGCAATTATAACAAAGCTTGGTTCGATGTTCGCAAACAATGTTAACGTTGTACCTATTATTGCGCCGTTGAATGAGTATGTATTCGTTTGAGCCTTTTATTATCTAACGCTAATTAATTCTCCTACAGACCTGCTGGTTATTTCAGCAGCCAGATGCTTTCTGTGATCAAACAGGTTAGATATATGCGCGTTATCGATATAAGAGTTCATTATTGAGACTTACAATTAATACAGTACTGGTATGACAGTTATGGAACCATTCGGTGATTTGATCTGTGGCCATCCTTTGTTCTAGAATTGCTCATCATATTTTTGAAACAGATACCCCTTCGGAACCTCCCAACAAAGTAACCTCGCTGTTATGATTCACGATGCTTTCCAACCTCTCAGCTACTGGAACAACTTCATGCCTTCCCCAAACTGGCAGGGCGTTCTCATTGATACCCACATATACCAGATGTTCTCCGTCGCTGTAAGTCGCTTCTTGATCACCACCGACGGCAGTCGCTCAAATAGTGTTTACACCTTTAGGATAACCAAAAGACCAATGCTCAGCACATCTCAGCCGCATGCGCGCAGGCGAGCTCGCTGACCGCCTCTCCCCTCTGGCTCGTGGTGGGAGAGTGGACCCCCGCAGCGACCGACTGCGCGAAGTACCTGAACGGCCGCGGCGTGGGCGCGCGCTACGACGGCTCCTACCCCGGCTCCACGCGCGTCGGCAGCTGCACGGGCCTCACCGGCAGCGCGTCGTCGTTCAGCGCGAGCTACAAGACGTTCCTGCGGCAGTACTGGGAGGCGCAGGTGATGTCGTACGAGAAGGGCGGGCAGGGGTGGATCCAGTGGACGTGGAAGGCGGAGAACGCGGATGAGTGGACGTACCAGGCTGGTCTGGCGAATGGGTGGATTCCGCAGAACCCGACCAGTTTCCAATACCCCAATATTTGTGGTTAATGTTTTTTCGTCGAGGTTATACGTTATACCCTGTACGTTCAATATGTTTTTATACACGAAGGTCCTGTTTAGTTACTTGTTTTACACTACGTCCTGGTTAAATAATCTACTCCCGTTAAATCATCGGTCCTAGAGTCGTAGGTGGTCGTAAGAATACTCATGGTAGTGTCGTGGCACAAGATGAAAGTAAGCGCCCAGCGAGCTCATTTCCTAATACGGACAAAAGATGTTGCGCCCAGAATAGTCCTCTCATTGAGCCCTGCTGGTAAGACTCAGTTTGTTGAACTGCCCTACTTCAACGGGCGCTTATTAATTGTTTGTCGAGCTTTCAACTACCTGGAACTTGACGAGAACGCCGACGAATGGTCTTATCAGGCTGGTCTGGCAAATGGTTGAATCCCACAGAATCCTGCGCAGAAGAGGGACGCGTCTGGATATATCTGCAGACATTTTTACGACTGATAGTTGGAGGTTGATCAAGGTACGTATGCGGTGTTGGAGAGTCAAAGATAGGCCATATAAAGCGCCCGAAGGACATTGCACTCTAGTGGATCGTCGGCAATGGATTGACTAGACAATACTTTGTTACTTTACTTTGTGATACGTCGTGAGACTTGTGGGCGAGTGCCAAGCGACGCTCAGTCAGCAGCTCGATGCTCAATCAAATGCTGGTAAAAGTAAGTATTAGTCGGTCTAGAATTCTACGTAGCATTAATGGGGTAGTGGTAACCTGGGTCGTTGCCATATCATCTTTATGTAGGGGATATAAGTTACAGCTCGACCCGCCGGGAGTTCGATTCTCTCTTAATGCATGCGAAGCTGTTCCATTGGAACAAATTTTTTTTGAATATAACTTTACTTACACGTGTTTTGTGGCATTGCTGGATTATCATTGCTCAAACTTCAAATCCGTATTGAAAATTTGAATACTTGACGTGAAGAAACACAGCGAACTAAAATACCGACTATTAATATCTATCCATGTACAGATTAGGGACTTATTACCATTTCAAGAAGTCCTACTAGCCGAGGTATGTATGACAAACATCGAGGTCACAATTGGGACGCTACCACATTCGTTCCTGTCTAGACAACTTTATCCCCCGAAGGCCCAAAACTGCATTCCTATTCAGATTATACATAAAAATATCATACTTCTAGATTTTTCTAGGAAGGTGGGTATTAGAGCTCAGGCGCCCAGCGTTCCACCTAGATTCCTGAACTCGACGGTTAAAGCCTATAGGCCGTCAAGGCCGTCAAGGTCGTCTACGAGGTCCCGATCCCGGGTTGCCTTGTATAGGTTCACGATGATGTCGTTCGCGGTGAGGGTGATAATCCTACATGCGGCGTTGGCATTATTAGAAAAAAGGATACTACAAGTTTGAGTTTACGGAAACTCACGTGTGGGGTGCGATACGCATGAAATGAGCCGTTGAGCCTGGACGTTCGCAGCGGATTAGATATGTATTCGGGATTTGGGTTTGAAGAGAAGGGCGTGGACAAACCTTTGTACCACCCGCGGACACCCTCTATCTTGAAAGTCTTCCACAGGCAATCTATGGGGTTTTTATATAGAGCCCCTCTCAGTTTTCCATCCGGCCCAACGATGGTGGGTTGGTTATACATCCGCGTCAGAGCCTGGTAGGAGAAAGCAGTGAGATACGGATTTCTGGGAATAATATAGGAATGGGCTGACGGTATCGGCAGGTTGCATTGCGAGACACTATGCATTTGGTGTTTCAATATTAGGGGTGAACGGTGAGAATGCTGGCGACGTACTACGCATGCTCCTGACACGGTACTGCTGACAAGGAAGGTCCATGTGCTGTTTGCGGGGAGGATGTCGTGCTTGACTAATTGACCTTTAGTAAAGTTATAACTGGGTAGTTGTACCTAATAATAAATGTGTTTAGTTAGCCACTATATTGTGACGAGCTAGGCCACTTACAGAAGAACCCATCGAAGTTCTTAGGATGGCGGCATCGATTCCGCGAACCAGACCTCTTGCACCCTCTGCGCGGAAGATCGTGGCAAAGGCATCGACTGCGCTCTTATAGTTGTGCTGAGCACCGACTGGTAGGGCTGGTGAATATGCCTAGCAATTTGGGCTTAGAAAGAATGCTATTGTTAAACACATCTTTCTGACCTGCATCCGAGCCTTAATTAGGAACAGAGGGTTTCCGAGAGAAGCTGCGTGGTATGGTTAACCCAAAAATTTGTACGTTAATTGGGGTTGACATACCTCCAACAGCTCCGCTGGTAGCTCCCGCGAATACGGAAGTATATGTGATCTGCTCATCGGCCGAACGTCCAATAAATTTGTTGATACTTCTCCGAAAGGGTTCGTAGAATCCTGCGGTGGGGGTTCATGCAAAGATAACCTAGAGAGACACGAAAATACTTACCTAGCCTCGAACCATTTAGCAGGATCTGAGAAGGGTGTTAGGACATGCGGACGGTGTCCCAGGACGAGAATAACATGGTTCTTACTTGATACGCGTACTGTTGATATGATAAGTACAGCGCATACGGAGGAAGGAAATCCACTCACAGCAGGTGGCAATCCCCTCTGAATTCCCCGCAAACCCTCGTGCTTCCATGTTTTGGCAAGGACATCAATAGCGTTGTTGTACACCTTCTTCCCACCCCCCTTGGTTAGCTCACCCTGGAGCTGCAGCCGTGTCTTTGCGACCTCAGCCGGGTTCGATACGGTGACCTAGACATATGTCGAGAAGCGTACTGCGTCAGTGACGGCGGCATATTTTTGGACGTGGGGTGGACGCACCGCGATACAAGCTGCAATACCGCCGCAGATGAAGCCTTCTAGAGTCGACACGGGACGGCCCTTTTTTAGTGGAGGGGCTGTAGACATTGAGTGCCCCGGTGGCCTGCTCCTGGCGCTGCTGAAAATGAAACGGAAAAAGAAAGAGTCAGGGGAGCTTGAGCTTGCGGCAGTCCGATCAGAGGTCGCGTGATGGGTGGGGAATGGAATGTGAGATGGCGCGACGGTCACCGGACGCGACTGTGCTCTCCTCGTCAGCCAACATGATCTAACAATGCCCAGCCCCTCCAACACCCAGGTCGTCGTCCTCGTCGCCGTCCTCGCCGTCGTCCTCCCCATCATCTCACGCGCCATATCGTCCCCAATTACCCTCCTGCTGATATCTCCTCTTGTTCTTGTTTTCCTTGCTTTTGTTTATCTATTGCTTTCTATCTATCTAGGATGGTATCTCGATGTCCATAGGACACACCCACACCCAAATTATCTCCAGCATGCCGCGCGACCTTTTGCCTTCTCTACACCAGCAGCTTGGCAGGCTGTGCTCACCCGTTCGCAATGGTCGCAGAACACGCCAAAGGCCCTACCACCACTCTATCCGGAATCCCTTGAGGTGTCTGATGCACTGAATGAGATTATCACGATGGCCATCAGGGACTTTGTGTCTAGCTGGTATACCAGCATCTCGAGCTCGCCCTCCTTCCCTATTGCCGTCTCATCCGTTGTCCATGCCTCCCTGCAACAGCTCAACCAACGAGCCTCGGCAATCGACCTTTCCTCCCTCATCGTCAAACGAATACTGCCCAAAGTTACCGCACACATCGACCAGTTCCGCGAGTCCGAAGTCGCTCTCCGCGGCGCAGGTCTCGAGCGACGGCTGACGCAATCCGAGGAGCTGGACCTTCTTCTCGCGAGCAGATACGCTACCAAAGGCGTCAAAATCCACCCTGCGGTCGAGAACCTTTCCACCACATTTACGCGACAGACAGAAGAGATGCATCTCAGGCACTTGGTCGATAGGGCCTTGCCGTATATTCTACCGCCCAAGGAACGAAATAGCAAGGCCTTGAAGATTGTCGTTAGGGAAATTGTGACCTGCTCAGTGCTGTTTCCTCTAGTGGAAATGGTGGCTGACCCCGATTTCTGGAACAGGACGATTGACCAAGTGGTAAGCATGTTTGTTAGACATTGCTTTGGATCCACTGACAGGTGTGACATTCAGGCAGGAGCTGCTATTCACCAACAGTAAGAAGCATCTTCCGCCTTATTGTTTGCGGTTAGCTCATGCCAAAATTCTAGGCAACTGATCTCCAAAGTCCGGAATGTGCTAGACGCTCAATCACCGCGGCATAAAAATCGAGTTGCTTCTTCGAGCTCGGTCGCTGCAAGCCCCACAGAGAAAATCACGATTCGTACCAACGCGCGTCAATTTGAGTCATTCCTACGCAGTCTCACTACCACATCTTCTCTGCTGGACGCACGTCGATTGAAAAATGACATTGTTGGGGAGATAAGACGGACTCGGTTGCTCTTAGGTTCGTGGATTTACGCTCAGGTGATTGAATATTAACCTTATAGATGTACAGCAAATCATGAAAAGGAAGATTGGATTGACGGCGAAAAGACAGAGGACGTGGTGGCTTTCCTTGATAGATTATACACAGCAAAGCGGAAAGTTGAAGATCGTATCGTGGTTCTCGGCGGTGAAGACAGTTCAGTGAGTATGATTTTGTACCATGACCAACCTGACACTTACTGATAGTCGAAATAGAGACAGACCACTATCCAAGAAGACGGTCCGAAATCCGTCTCTTTAAGAGACATTCTCAGGAATCCCAACTCGCTATCATATTTCATGGAATTTATGGATCGGCGACATCGTTCACTGCCTGTACAGTTCTGGCTCACAGTTGAAAGTTTCAAAAATCCCTTGGAAAGCGTCGACTCTGACAGCTCAGGCGACGAAGAAGAAATCATCCAAGATCCCTCGACCTCCGTCACAGTCAAAGAAGACATATCCATGATCAACGACCTCTATTTCCTGGACGGAAAGACGCAGGTATCCCTAGCTGCGATATCGAAGAAACACGTCGACGCGGTTCGAGAGTTTGCATACGACGCGAGCCCCTCCATCGAGGCACAGAGGAAAGTCCGGCGCAGCGTGCTCCGCGCACAGAAGCAGGTCGAGCGCGACATGGAGCAGGACTTTGAGGAGTTCGAGCGCTCGGAGCTGTGGTTCCGCGCCATCGGCGACGCGGGCTTCACGGCGAGCAAGGCGCCGGCGGACCCGTTCGAGCGGCAGCTGCGCGAGGGCGTGGGGTTGCCCCCGCGCACGCTGGAGCGCACGCCCCTGTCGCCGTCCGTGCAGTCGAAGCACAATATCGCGCCTGCACGCTACGACCAGAGCGCGATCTTCGGCATGCAGCGCACGGTCAGCGCGAACTCGGGGCGGTCGCAGCACTCCAAAATGTCGAACACGAGCGCGGGTGCGGTGAATGTGCCGTATACACCCTCGAATATCGAGGTCCTGATGTCGCCCATATCGGAGGGGCCCTCCTCGGAGCCTGCGCGTGCACCGTTGTTTGACGACCCGGAGGACGAGATGCAGCGCGCGGAGGAGAAGCGGATGGAGGCGATCCACGCTGCGCTGACGGATATCATGGCGCTCGAGCAGGAGCGCTCCGCCGCGCGGCCGACGTTGGGTGAGCGGAACGCGGAGCCGCTGTTCAAGTCCATCCGCCTCTCCGAGCGCCCGAAGCGGCAGGCCGCCCAAAGTGCCATGTTCGAGGACGGCGCTGGCGACGCGGACCTGGACGACGCGGACCAGGAAGGCACCGCCGACGAGCCCGGGTCCTTCCAGCTCGCCGCGCCCGGCGACCTGCAGCTCTCGCACGAGATCGCGCGGCTCGGGGAGAACATCGCGCATCTCGAGGCGCAGGACGCGATGCTCGACACGCTGATCAAGAAGGCGGAGCTGACGGGGGACACGCAGGAGCTGCGGCTGCTGACGCGCTCGAAAAGCGCGATGGCGCG